TGATGTGATTGAGTCTACGTGCATCAGACCCACTCCATTCTAACAACTGATTTCTGGTTCTAAATATCACTCCATAACCACACCACAATAATTTAAGAAAATAAGAAATCATCCTCCACCTGTTACACAGGCATACAGACTACTTTATTTTTACTTTACAGGAGATTTAACGCAGAGAACACTCACTTTTTCCCTATGTAAATTTGTTTTATTTATTACAAGCAAAAGCATCTTGAGCCCTGTGTGATGATTTTAAAACGTCCTTTTTATTAATTTCACTCCTTCTGTTACTTGCCACTTTGCTTTCAGTGCCGTTGTGCCATTATATCCTTTCTTCCCCCCTTTCTACATGTATTCAGTTCCTGTTCTACATATTGTCCATTAGAATGAAATTCTTCCTCTGATCAGGAACATCCCAGGTGGATGGAAAGAAGCGCTCCTCCCTGTTCTGAGTGAACCGGGTCGTGGATGGAACATCTCGCCACAGTCTTCTTTCGCATTTTTCTATTTTCTTTTTCATTATTAAGCTACCTGTAATCAAATATATTTCCGTTACTTTAGCAAAGCACCACGAGTTCCCTTAATGTAACTTTAGAGCTGTTGTTCATTCTTTAATTAGAAACGACATGTATCTAAATGGGAATCAAATTAAAAAATATTTATCAGCGCTTTAGAAATAAAAACAATTTGCAAATTTTTTTATGTAATGAGACAGAGAAATCTAAATAAATAAACAAATGGATCACCAACAGGGCGGCACCGCTCCCAGAAATGCCTCGGAGCCGAGTCACTGGAGGAGAGGCAGAATCCCAGACGTCAAACACACACACACCTACAGTCTGCCGATTTACGTTCTTGTTGAAAAGCAACAAGAGCAATCAAGGGATGGAGAGGTAGGTTGTCGACTAGTTTTTCTAGTTTCTGGAATCTTTTAATGATTGTCACTCATCCACCAAACGTCAATGCTTAATATGTAGTTAAAAGTCAGTTCAAGTCGCATCAAATAGAACATCAAATGATAGAGTGCAAAAGAAACAGATTTTAAACATTATTTAAATACAATTAAAACATGTGGAATCTAGATTACTAGATTATTAGATGAAAATAGGCAGATGTAAAATAAGCCATAAAAGTTTAGATAAATTCAGAATATTTCATGAATCTAAATCGGCTGAAAGGTATAAATATTATGAACTTCTCGATTCTACTTTTCTTCAAGATTCTTCAATAGCAGAGACAAAAAAACATAAAATACTTGACTACAAAGAGCCTCAAAGCTTCTAGAGAAAGACCACAACCACTATGAAGAGACACAAAGCAACGCCAAAAAGATACAAAGAGTCAAAGACTATAAAAAGGGACCAACCACCAAAAGACACAAAACAACCATAAACAACTTAGGAGACACAAAAGACAACTTCACAAAACCCTTCAAGCCTTCACAGCGTGAACTAGGCTGCAGCGCCGTTGTGTCTGATGTGTCTCTTTGTGGGTCTCTGAATGTCTTTCTAATGTCTTTTGTCTCACAGCCTGAGCACATGCCTTGTTCTCGTGTCAGTCGCACATGATGCATCCTGACATGTTGACTGTTTACAAACAACGCCCTGCTCTTCTGCCAACGTCACAACAACAGCAAAGAAATGTCCCCACAAAAGAGTGGGCGGGGCTTGTTTCCCTGTAATACGTCTGTCTCAAACAGCTGTAATACCTTTATTTAGAAATAGGTTTATATGATGTGATAATTCAAAACGAGTGTACATTTATTTGTGCAAGCACTAAACAAATAAAAGCTTTTATTCAGCAGCAGATTAAACAGTTCTTCCTCAATTCCTCAATTTAAACACTTAAAATCAACATTAAAAAAAAGTAAATGTCCCCAAGGGCGGTCAGAAGTGTGGCCCGGGGGCCCATAACTGGTCTTGTAATGTATTGTTTATGGCCCACAAACACTGTTAAATAAAAAGTGGTCAATCAATTGTAAATAAGTAACGTTCTGTATATATTGTACAAACAAATGATGACACGTGTCAACTGTTTAGCCAGGGTTAATTCATAAAGTGGATCATTATCACTTGAATGGTCTCAATCACTGCTCTGTTAATAATGACAATAAGGCATTCATGCTTTCGATCGCCCGGATATTCTCACACTTACATGAAAGACTCACAACGTCTGTTGAGCTCACACCGATTATACTGGCATTGAATAAACTGAAGAAAACAAATTCATCTTTTCATAACTTCCATGTGTCTTCAACCGAGGTGAAAAGTTCAAACCAGAGTCTGGATAAGAAGGTATGGCAGTTTATTTAAAGTAATGGCCTCGGCCACATGACTCCCTGGTGCCCTTTTAAGATTTTCTTTCCTAAAATCTTCTTCTCTTTTGGTTGCAGCAAATCCCATGAATAATATTTGATCAGTAAATATAAACATAAACATAAAGTAAACATAAATATTCCCTATTCTTTTATAATTAATATTTTATCCTAAGGCCTCGGATTAGTCCAACACCTCCAGGTCATGCGACTCCAGGTTCTAAAAGCATCATCTTTGCTAGAATGGCACCACAAGGTGACGTCAGGGGGCTCTGCAGAGAGGAAGTAGAGGAAACACCAAAGAAACATCATGTTCTCCAGTACAGACCTCAGAGGACCAGACGAACCGCTGTGAGCTCATCAGCGCTGCACCAGAAGGTTGTCCAGGTCCCCTCTCTCCACTATATTAATGTTTATTTATTAACAGATGGGAATCAATCAGGAACGGGAAATAGACCAGAAGCTAACGCAGCGTTCTGCTGTTCCTAGATGAAAGGATCTTAAAGTAGACGGATGTAAGGGACACAATTAACAGGGAAGACTTCCGCCTGAATAAAAAAGTAGCAAGAACAAAACAAAGAACTTACAACACATTACAAAGCAATATGAACTACAAAGTGTATTTCGAATTAGAATGGAACCTGCAAACACACAATGACTTCATTTGGGTCCTTTCTACGGATACAAAACCTTTTTATTTCCATAAAAATACACATTTACCTCTGAAACCTGTTGTTCATCCGCAAGAAAGCTTTCGATGAACGGAGACGTTTCCAGCGTGCTCACCTGTGGACCGACCTGTCTCCACGGGGTGGAGAAGAGGGACACCTAGTGGCACCTGTGTGCTGCTGCGTCTGTCCGGTGGGAGTCCAGGACAAGAAGGACTCCAAAGCAGAAATACTTTATTTTAAAGTAAGAATACAAAATGTCTACCGGCAAACGGACCAACGAGACAGACTAAAAGACCACCCATCATGGACTAACGAGCCGACAAGGAGACAGGGACACGCATGGACAAGGAGACAGAGGGAGGGCCAGGCGGGTGGGGGCTGTCCGGTGGATTATCATTGTCCTCCTCACCCGTTCACCTGTCGGCCCAGTAGCACATACAGTTTGCACCAGTTCATTCCACCGGCACTCTGCCTGTTCATAATCATAAAAACTGTTTCGTAGACTTGGGAACGACTATATCATTTCCCAGGTTCATTAAAAGTTGTGGCCATTGATTAGAATGCACTCTAAACAAACACCTTCTCAATATGCGTTCTTGTCTGTCCTTGTGTCCTTGTGTTCGTGTGGACTTGTGCAATGTCCTCAGTCGCGTCGTCAGTGTAGAGCAGCGGTTCCCAAATTCAAGAATGCCGCGGCCCAATTTGAAATCTGAAAATCTTTTGCGGCCCACCCAAACCTTTAATCACAACTCTGATCAAAACATAAACTAGAGATGATTAAATGACCTTAAGAATTTAACCGAATAAAAATGTGTTGGCGCACATTTAAGTTGTTTTGTACTCGTGTTTTCCGGCGAATTGTTTGTGTCTTAAAATAAAAATAACTTACTTTCAAAAACTTCTGAACTTAACATCGGATATGTTAATCCATTTATTTATAACAAAAATAACAAACAATTCGGTTCCCAATCCGCCGTGCCTCACGGTCAAAAGTTATCTGCCTCGCTGTGCGCCACACCTGCACTAATTAGCCCTGGCGTTAAATAGGCTGGTGGCAAAACAGCGCCATCCCATTGCCGTATTCAGAATGGCTCCAACACAACCGGCCCCTAATTGTTCATGGCACTTCAAGACATGACAATTACAAACAATTCATGTATGGAGACATTCATACAACAAAAACAACGTTTGCAAACAAAAATAATAAACAAAAGCAAATCAACCCTCTTTTGGTGCATTTGTTTTACTTTTACATTGACTGCTCTACCAATAGTCCTAGTTTTGTCACTGGTCTTTCAATTACATTTGTTTTGGTTTTGATTTGCACAGATCTAACTATGCCTGATTTGTCTGGAAAGGATTTAATAATCCTTCCAATCATCCAAGAATTTCGTGGTGCTGTAGCATCTGCAATCAAAACAATATCTCCTTCCATAAGATTACGTTGTGTTTTGTTCCACTTTTGTCTTTCCTGTAGCGTTGCAAGATACTCTTTCGTCCACCTTTTCCAGAACAAATCTGAAAGATACTGAGCCTGTTTCCATCTTCGTCTTACGTACTGGTCCTTTTGATCAAACAGACCTGGAGGCAAAACTGGTATTCTTTTCAAAGTAAGAAGATGATTAGGTGTTAGTGGCTCTAAATCATTAGGATCCTCAGAAACTCTCGTAATTGGTCGGTCATTCAAGATTGCTTCGGCTTCGCATAAGACTGTGACTAATGTTTCATCAGTTAGAGTCTGTAGATGTAAAACAGATACCAAGACCTTCCTGACCAGTCTGATCATGCTTTCCCAAGCACCGCCATGATGGGAAGCTGCAGGTGGGTTGAACGTTCACTTGATATTGTCATGAATTAAAGCCTTCTCAATTGATCTGTGGTTTGAATCTGCAATTGCTCTTTTTAGTTCCTTTTCTGCACCTGTGAAATTTGTGCCATTATCTGAGCGAAAGTGTGCCACGGGTCCTCTTCGGCATATGAATCGACGAATAGCACTGATGCAGGAGTCTGTGTCTAACGAGTGTGCCACTTCTAAATGAATTGCCCTGCTGGCCATGCATGTAAAGATAACTCCATAACGTTTCACATAAGAACGTCCTTGTTTTACCTCAATAGGCCCAAAATAGTCCACGCCCACGTTAGTAAATGGAGGGAAGTCTGGAGTAATCCTCTCTTTGGGAAGATCCGACATCTTTTGATCACACAATTTTCCTTGGTGACGTCTGCAAAAAGGACAATTTGACAAGATTTTCCTTGCTGCTGCATTGGCATGAGTGACCCAGAACTTCTCTCTCAATTTGGAAAGGATGTAATTTCTCCCACCGTGTCTTGTCTGTTCATGATTATTTTTAAGAACATGGAGATGTGCTGATCTTTACCCAGGATGACTGGATGTTTGCTCTCTTCGGGCATTGCAGTCCTGGACAATCTTCCACCAACTCTTACCAGTCCTTCCTCGAAGACAGGATTCAGCTTGTAGATAGGAAAACCTGTAAAAGGGTGTAGCCCTGTCTTTAGTGCACAAATCTCAGTGTCAAATCTTTCCCTCTGACAGAACTGAAGGATAGCGTTTTCTGCTGCTAATAGATCCTCCGTTGATACACGTTCTCGTTTGAACGACCTTCTGGCTTCCAACATTTTTCTGTCAACATCAAGATTAGCCATTCCATCTTTCACAAGTTGCTTCCTTCTTTGACTCAACTCCGATAGAGTCCCTTTGACCAACAGCAACCATGCAACTGCAACTTTCAACCTTTTCCAGTCAGAGAAATAGGTGATGAGTTGGCTGGTTGCATTATCCTCTTGAATGGTTATTGCGTTTGTGGAGATTTCCACTTTGACCTCTGGATCATCCTCCTCCAATGTGGACTCCACTTCGTACTGTAACCATGTTTCTCTTGCTCTCCACAGGAATTCTGGACCTGATAGCCATGTTTTGCTGTTCAAAAGCTTATGGACTGTCAGTCCTCTAGATGCGTCATCTGCAGGATTTTGTTTTGTGTGAACATAGCGCCACTGTGCTGGCTCTGAAGATTCCCTAATGATGGCTACTCTGTTGGCCACAAATGTTCGAAACCTTTTGTTTTCATTGCTGATGTACTTCAAGACTGTAGTACTATCAGTCCAGAAACAGGATTCTGACAAAGAAAGCTGTAACTCTGATTTTACCATCCTGTCCACTCGAACAGCTAAAACGGCAGCAGTGAGTTCCAAACGAGGAATGGTTACGGGTTTAAGAGGTGTTACTCTGGACTTTCCAAGAAGAAAGGAAATATGAATATGACCTGCTTTGTTCTGTAACCTTAGGTAAGTTACCGTGCCATATCCCCTTTCGCTGGCATCGGCAAAGTGATGCAACTGGGCGTGGACTGGTGTTCCAAAGTCATGTGGTTTCAAGCACCTACTCACTCGGAACTCTGAGATCTCTTTCAGGTCAGTTAGCCACTTTATCCACTGCTGTTTTAAGGTTTGTGGAACTTCTTCATCCCAGCCATAGTTCCTTTTGCACAACTCTTGTAATATGTGCTTGGCTGGAAGAAGGACTGGCGCAACGTACCCTAAGGGATCGTACACTGCACTAGTGACTGATAGAATCCCATCGCCGTGTTTGCATCCGTTCTTTGCAGTTCACATGGAAGTTAAACTGTCATTTCCCAGACACCAATGTAGCCCCAGTGCCCTTTCCACCGGAAGTTGGTCTATGTCCAAATTTAGTTCACTCACACTTTTAGAATGTTCTTTCTCAGGAATTGTTTCAAGGACTTTGCGACTGCTACTTATCCACTGTGTAAGATGAAACCCTCCTTTCTGGCAAAGTTCAGTCAGGTCCTGGACAAGCTGTACTGCTTTCTGCACAGACGGTGAGCTTTTCAGACAATCGTCCACATAGAAATTTTTATATACCGTGTCAATTACCTCCTCCGAAAACCCATTCCGACTGTCCTCTGCTGTCTTCCTTAGAGCATAACATGCACAACTAGGCGACGACACTGCTCCAAAGAGATGTACAGTCATTCTATATTCTTCAACTTGCTTGTGCAGATCTCCATTAGGCCACCACAGGAACCTTAGAAAGTCTTTGTCTTCGTCGGCCACTCTAACTTGATAGAACATAGACTTCACATCAGACATAAAAGCAACTGGTTCTTGTCTGAATCGTAGAAACACTCCTATTAAGGAACTTGTAAGGTTCGGACCCTGCAGAAGTTGTTCGTTCAAAGAAGTTCCTTTAAACTTAGCTCCACAGTCGAAGACAACTCGCAACTTGCCCTTCCGTGGGTGATATACTCCATGATGAGGTATATAGAACAGGTTATCTTCTCCACAACGCAATTCATCCTGTGGTACCATTTCTGCATAGCCACTACTGATGACATTTTCAAGAAAGCTTGTGTATTCTTGGTGGAATTTCTCATTTCTTTCCATTTTCCTTCTTAGTCCAATGAGGCGCTGTTGAGCAATACAACGGTTGTTTGGCAAAGTTACCTCTTGGGCTTTAAATGGCAGCTTTAAACTGTAATGTCCGTCCTTTAACTTTACAGATTGATCCATTATTTTAATGAATCTTGCCTCTTGCCTTGACATTTCTTCATTGTCGTCGGCGATTTTCTCATTGAAGTCACTTTGGTACTGCTTCTCCAATAACAGCTGAAAGTGATTCTACAGATAATCTGTTACAGAAACAGAAGGATAGCCAATGCCATTCCTATTGTCTTTGGAATCCTTTCCTAAGCCATTGATCACCCACCCTAATAGGGTTTTAACAGCAAAAGGACCCTCACCTTGGCTATTCACAACTTCCCATGGTTCTAGCAACTTTGAAGCATTAGTACCTATTAATAACTCCACGTTAGCATCAATTTCAGGGATTTCAATGTGATCAAGGTAAGGCCACTGTGATACGTCCTCTGGTTTTATGATGTTTGCTGTGTCAACTGGCATCTTTTTCTGTGTGTAAACATTTGGAAGACTGTAGTACCTTGTTCCATTAAGGCTAGCTACTTCAAGTCCATTCACAATGTATGTTGACACTGATGTCTTTGGGCTCATCGTTAACAAACCTATTTTTGACTTTGTTCCAGTAAGATTAAGTCTACGCATAAGAGCTTCAGAGCAGAATGTGGATGTCGAGCCATTGTCCAGAAAAGCATAAGTCTGAATGACCTTGTTGCCCTTTTGTGCTTTTACCTGAACTGGCAGGATGGAGAGCATTCCACTACCACCGGCCCCGGTCTGGCTCCCAAATGTCTGAGCTGACACAAGCGTATGGTTTACAGCTGGTTTAGGTTCCTTGGGATAGATGCCACTGCTGTTCATCGATTTGTCCACTTGTTTGACGTGAATGTGTAAAGCTGTTGGATGGCTCTGTTTGCATTTTTCACAGGTTTTCCGCTTATCGCAATTTTTGCTCAAATGCCCAATGTTGAGACACCCAAAACATACTCCTTTTTCCTTTAAGAAGTTGATCTTTTCACGATGTTTGTTTTTTGCAAGTCGTTGACATTCATCCAGACTGTGATCTTGCAAACAGAATAAACAATTGATGCCGATGTTGCTCTCCCTGTGTTTACCTTCTTGTGTGTCCCTGCGTTGCACTTTGCTAACAGCACAGACGTTTGTAGCAAAGTTACCTTGCTTCGACCTAGGCTTGGCTGTATACACATCCCTTTTAACCTGCCTCTCTCTTTCAGTAGATTGAATATCACCAAAAATAGGATCAGACAAGATTTTTACTTCATATTCCACAAAGTGTACAACGTCTTTAAAGTTAGGTTTGCGGAGTTGTCGCTCCCGAATACCGCAAGCAGAACTTCTAAATTTTTCCCTCAACTTAAAAGGAAGTTTTGAAACAATAGTTTTGAGGTTAGCCGGCAAGTCCAGCTCTTTCATGTCCTCCAAATCTGACATTGCATTATAGCATCCACGTAGAAATAATGCATAGTCCTGTAGAAACAAAACACCTTCAGGCTTCACCACAGGCCAGTTGAGAACCTTTTCCATATATGCTGCTGTAATCTTTGTTTCATTGCCGAAGTGTTCCCGTAGGAGAGCTTTAGCTGTTTCAAAACCTCTCTCCGCACTCATATGTAAACAGCTTTGCACAAGGTCGTGAGGACGCCCCCTGGTGTACCTTTCCAAAAAATACATGCAATCCCCTTTAGATGCAGCTTTCTCCTCCACACAATGCTTAAAAGCTTGCATGAACATTTTGAACTTCAATGGGTCACCTTCGAAAACAGGTAGTTGTCTAGGTGGCAGTTGGCTTGCTTTGTGTTGTTGTAAGAGCAGCTCGGATATTTCATTTTGCCTTTGCAGAATCTGTTGTGTAGAATTGTCATCATCTGCATGTGCAACATTAGCAGTAGATAAACCTTTATTACTCAATCTTGTAGATTTTTCAAACTTCGCCTCAGAAACGTTAGGGCTTTCTTTTGATT